ATGAAATAATTGTTTACCTGTTTAACCCGTTTCTCGACGCAACTCAATTAGATATTTGTCATTAAAGAACAGCATGAAAGTATTTTAACCCCTAATTGGTGACCTGGAGTACCTATACCAGACGTGCTTAGGAGTACTCCTAAGCACTTTGCAATCAGTGCATATTTAAAAGTTCGCGCTAAATCTGTTTCATCCTCCAGGTACCTTCAATCCTAGATGGTATACTAATATTGGTAGAGAGTGTTAATATATTAACACTCTCTACCAATATTAGTTGTTTCCAAAATGTGTATGTAAATATGACCCAACCCAACACATGTTTTTAAAGTTGAAGGGGAGTCTCTTAGACTCCACATCCATCCCATCAGGATGTTTCTAGGATAACTTGGGATGAACCTCATACATTCCCATGGGAACATCCTTATAAGGTCGTTTTTAGTATGTTATATTTTATATTCCTAAATGACTTTTAGAAAGGTTTGAAATATATCAAAAATTTTCAAAATAAGTTTTATTTTGAAAGGACACAGTTTATTCAGACAAACAGGCACCAATACCATTACTACCTAAAGCTTGCAGCACGTTATTTCTTAACAAATACAAATACTTAACTGTAATAATGTTTAAATTTATTTATTAATACTTAAAACATATTTAATTTAAAGTAAAAAACTGAAATACTGTAAATACTCAGTTAATATAAAATAATATATATAAATAAATAATATAAAAGGAAACAAATAAGCACCCCAAAGACCTTTAAGGAACCAAATACCCCAGCTACATAAAATTCTAAAAGTATAATGAAAAAAACATAGGTACATAATATATTATATACCTAACAAACATAGAGATAGGCGAGCGCACAAGCATAAGGAAATCCATATCACTGGAATACAACCCATACAAGAAAGATTGGAATACCTAGCGAAAAAATTTGACAACAAACCTGAAAACCTTAATGGAACCTTTGATTCTTAAAACACAACTCGAGACAACACCAAGGAGAAAATACCCAGAGAAATCGTTGTATGACTCACTCAGGGAATTGACAGAAGATTAATGAAGATACTATATATATATATATATATATATATATACTATATATATTTAATTATAACATTTTTTTTTTTGTAAAGTACAGAACATAAATTAAAATATAGTATTTGTTATATACAAAATTGTAACTGGGCAGGAAGACGAAAGTCGTTAGCAATTTGGATTTCCAATAAAGTTTATTATTATTATTATTATTATATTATATACCTATAGCTAAAATTAAACATTTAATTCAATTTTTTTTATTTCTCCTCTTAACCTTCTTTCTTTTGCCCTTCTCAACCAATCTCCAATTCGTTGCTCAGCCTCTTTGTTATTAATTGAATGCTCATATTTCTGTGCACATTCTGAAATAAAAATTATATTGTTAAGAAATAGTTTCCGGGTAAATACCAACATAGAAACACGACCCACTCAGCTGCGGGTTCGATGCTTCTATAGTTGGATAAAAAAAATTGGAAATATTCTTTTATTTTAAGTGGGGTAAAAAAATATAAAAAAAATCTGCAAAATCAAAAGGGGTTGGGTTTAAAAGTCTATTTTTATTTACAGATTATCGCTTTGCCTAATGATAAGCTTCCAAACATAGTTTTTCCTTTTTTCCCTAAGAAGGAGAACTGTTCAGCTAGACTATCTGTAATTATGGGTGCGATACATCGTCTTATAAATTCATAGATTCCAAGTTGTGAAAAAAACTGAACCTATAAATCAGAAAAAGAAACTATACTCACTAATGTAACTTTATGAAAATTCTAGGATAATGGATAAAAAAGAAATTACCAATGCTGAATAATTTTCAGAATCTGAAAGGAAGTTTTCAAAAACTTCCTTACGATATTCTGCTCTACATTTTCCCACTTTGGAATTAATTTCTAACAACAGTGTCTGTATACACTGCGAAAAAAATGGGACAAATAAACTGTTTACCTAATACTTTTATTTGTAGTGAATATATTGTTTATTACCTCTAAATAGTCGAAATAATAACGATAAATATACTTTAGTAAAACTTTATATGTCAGGAATAAAAATATATTTAGGATAAATAAACTGTACCCTTGTCCCATATTTAAATATTTTTTTTATTTGGGAGCAATAAACTTTTTTCTCCGTGTATAATATATATTATATAACAGTTGTGGATGGCAACAACAACTAGTACCTGTTTTGAATGTTTCACCTAAAATGCATTCATTAGGTACACAGTTTTAAGAACAGCTCAGAAAACTTACCTATACTGTTTATATTGTTCTTTATTAATTCTAGGGCGCTTTTCAAAGTTGATGGAATAGGGCTCTTTTTAGAAAAATTACTGTCTGCTTGGAAATCTGTAACAGTGAAATTTAATTAGTATTGACATAAAAGTAATAAACAGAACAACATTAATTAAATACATTATAAATAATATTATACTACCTTCCAAATTACTGCACTTTTCTTCAACAAGCTAAGAGGATATCCAAGTTGGTGGAGGAGGTAATTTTTTGGATTTTTGCCTAGAGGCTCTTCATTTTCCTAGTCAGAATATTATAATAATCCAGCGAGTCTGAGAGACTCCATGTCACTGTTAAAGTAAAACTTTTTCATGTCACCAGTTATACATACATACCTATATATATACATTAAACATTTCCTTAGTAAAATTGTCATAAAACTTGTTATAACTCCTTTCATAATATATAATCCAATCTATACATGGCAAAGCAAAAAACTAAAGCATACCTACTCCATTCAAAAATAACTCTCCATGAGTCCTGGATAACACCAAGATACACTTAAATGTAACTCACAATATGTGTATATCTTGCAATTTATTCCAATAATTATTATTGTATATTTGTATTTTCCGATATTCTAAAAAAGGGGATTTTATATTTATCTGTATTATTGTTTGATGCTGCTTTGGCAATGGAATCCACCCTTTCATTCAAAACAATCCCTGAATGACCTTTTCCACAATTTTTAATTTGTCATATCTGTTTCAGAAGTACCTACTTTTCTTTGACCGAAATCTTGTTTGAACGAAAGTATCTCATTTAAGAAAATACGATTTTTTACGAAAAATGTGAACGAAGCCTTACGCCTTTGACGTTTCAAAAACAACGTTGCCACACATTTTAGACCCACCGCGCTTTTAAATTTTAGACCCATCGAGTTTAGATCTCTCGTGTTTGGGTGTCACGAAGCGTACCCGTGCCTTAATGCTAAAAACAAATTAAAATAGATCTAGATAGCACCACCTACGTGCTTACATACCTTATGAAGTAAATGCATTTTAAATTTGATAAGACAAATGGGAAAATTAATAATTTTAAATTATTTCAAAAATATTGATAAATGCATCGTCTTAACATTGTTAGTGATCAGTTAACCCTAATAATAATTTTCATATTTTTAATAAAAAATAGTATATTTTGTATCAAGTTTTTTAAAAGCCATTTTAGTTACGAGTTTTATTAAGCACGAGCGAAGCTTGCAAGCGAGTGTTTCATAAAAACGAGTGTCTAGATAAGTTTATAAAACGAGTTGCATACTATACTTTATACGACGACCACAAAGAAGAATTAAAATCAAATTTTATTTGTTAAATATTTGACATCTGTCAAATGCCAACGGAATTAACCTCACTTTTCTCTAATTTGGTAACTTCAGCCCGTGACTAAAACGCCATAAAGTCACAGCTAGTCAATGTAGGAGTAAATGCATTTTAAATTTGATAAGACAAATGGGAAAATTAGTAATTTTAAATTATTTCAAAAATATCGATAAATGCATCTACTTAACATTGTTAGTGATCAGTTTAATAATAATTTCCATATTTTTAATAAAAAATAGTATATTATGTATCAAATTTCATAAACGCCATTTTAGTTACGAGTTTAATTAAGCACGAGCGAAGCTTGCAAGCGAGTGTTTAATAAAAACGAGTGTCTAGATAAGTTTATAAAACGAGTTGCATACTATACTTTATCTACGACGACCACAAAGAATTTAAATCCAATTTTATTTGTTAAACATTCGACATCTATCAAATGTCAACGGAATTAACCTCACTTTTCTCTAATTTATAATAAAGCTAACTTCAGCCCGTGACTAAAATGCCCAAAAGCCACTATTGGTAACTTCAGCTCGTGACTAAAACGCCATAAAGTCACAGCTAGTCAATGTAGGAGCACATAAAATATTTTTTGCCCAGATATTGATAGGCAAAATTTTCCATCTATTTTCATAATAATTGTATCTACTCATATTACATAATATTGTTTTTTTTCGTGAATAATGATAAACATCTTAAATTCCCTGTGGAAATAATGAACTCATTATTCACGTTGTTAGGGATCAGTGATTGGCCGATTTCAATATTCACTGTGATTTGAACCAACCAGGTTTTAAATAGGGAGAAGGCAACTATAATAACATTTAAAATTAGTAAAAAGTGAGGTAACACATTTGACAGATGTCAAATTTCATTTATTTATTTTTAAAAATCATTTAATTATCTACTTATCTGTCAAAAAAATCGGAACAATTTGTGTAAATTAACTTTAATTACAGAAATGACACAATCAACAATAATTAAGTTATGTCAAATTTACAATTTGCATTGTATCATTGTGTCAATTTTGTAATTAAGGTAAATTCATACAAAATGTCCTGATTTTTTTGGACAAAATCTGGTCACTTTACGCAAACCTCATCCTCATGAATAATAAATAGCCTGCATTATCTCTTAATATACTATTATTATACATTATGAGATGGGATTTCCCACCATGTCAGTGTCAAGCTAATTTGGTCGCATTTTCTAAAAATAATGTATTAGGTATACTTCCTAGTAGTTTTAAAATGATACAACTCCTGCAATTTTGCGCATTCAAAAAAATGGTAATGGAAATTTTGTCTTAGATTTTTGCATGGAATTAACCCCTTCTGTTGGTCTGGTGATTTTGGTACATCCTGTATATACATACCATTTGATTATTTTAGATTTTGGGCTATGTTCACATTAAAAGAAAAAAAAAACAAAATTAGGAATGTTCCAATTCTTTTTGTACAGAACTTAATTCATTAATTAAATTATTGACTTGTTTAATGTCCATTTCAAAGTTGACTGTGTTATTTTTCATTTCATTCTCTTCTCTATCAAACTTGGTGCAATGTAAATCAACTTGCAATAATGGCTCTCGTATTGTTGCTAATTTGGAACTACCCATCACCCATTTTAACCTCCAATCGATATTATCCACTAAATTATGCCCATTTTTAACAATCCCATCTTTCAGTACTTTTTGTATGATTTCACTTTTTCTTACAGTAAAGCAGTCTTCTATTAATTTAATTACTTCAGAGTTTACATCTTTGATGTCCAATTTAAACTCTTTGTTATTTATTGCATTTCTATAAAGATTTTGGATTTCTTTTTTGGCTTTCTCGAAGTCTTCAGGTGTCCACTCTATATCGCTGTTGTAGTTGTTAAAATTAAGGGTTGATTTTCCTATTAAATCGTCTACTGATTCATGAAGAAACTAACAAAAATATTTAAGGTTGTGTTGCTTGTTGTTTTTTATGTTTTTACTTACTTTGGATAAAACAGGCACGTTGTTGGATATTTTCAAAAACGGATAAACATTAAAGGCAGTCATTTTTATTTATGAATATATTCATTTGTTTATTTTTTCTTTTTAAGTTTGAGAGAAACGTCACTATATTTTAGTGACTAAAATGGATTTGTGTTGGTAGCAGTATACCAACGTTCTAATTAATAGGCTTGTTCCATGATTGTATCATGGGCTTGTTCCTATTGAGCATTTTAACTGTCAGAAAAAATTTAAACATGAAAAAGGGGGCGAAATAGTTAACCCATCCTAATTGTACCCTTATGGTTAATTTTTTAACAAACAATAGTATCTAATAGCCCTTAATGATGTTAAAATAAAAATCTTGGTAAATTAATAATACTGGATGCTAATAATAATAATAATTTAAAAGTACAATTAAAAAAGTTTACAAAAGGTTGCTTACCTCCAGAAATTTTACTTAGTTAACCCATACTGGGATAGATGGCGCTGCCAATAAAATTATGTCACATACACAGTGTGGAAGTATGTGAATTTTGCACATACTTGTGGAAGTACAGGGTTTACCATCGGCGACTTCTTTTTTCAATAGGGATAAATTTTGATAAGATGACAGCTTTGACAATTACTTTTTTGACATATGTCAGTAAAAGCTTTGCCATTTGTAAAAATACCTTCAATTTCAATTGAAAATCGTATTAAAATCATCGAAACCTATAACGAAAATGGTCGTTGCGTGAAAACCACATATCGTAAAATTCGTGATATGTTTGGTCGTCATGGTCGGCCATCTGAGAACGCTATTTAGAATTTGGTGGATAAATTCAAATCTACTGGTTCAACCAAAAACAATTCGTGTTCGTCCGGGTCGTTCAGCTGAAAATATCGCTGCTGTGAGTGAAACTGTTGAAGAAGATCCAAATCTGTCAATGGATTGCGTTATCGGGATATGTTGACTAATTATTTTTGGCCTATTATCGATGGCATAGATGTGAGTGACATGTGGTTTCAGCAGGACGGCGCCACATGCCACACTGCCAGACAAACAATGGATTTATTGCAAACCAAATTTCCAGATCGAGTAATTTCGCGTAACTCTGCAGTAAATTGGCCGCCTAGATCCTGTGATTTAACACCTCTGGACTATTTCTTGTGGGGCTATGTGAAAGATCAAATCTATGCGGACAATCCGCTAACCATTGAGGCGTTATAACGCCTCAATGGTTAGCGGATTGTCCGCATAGATTTGATCTTTCACATAGCCCCACAAGAAATAGTCCAGAGGTGTTAAATCACAGGATCTAGGCGGCCAATTTACTGCTTTTATAAAAGCCAACATTGAACGTGCCATTCGTGAGATAGAGCCTCAGTTATGCCAAAATGTGATTACAAATTTTAACAAACGAATCGATGTTTGTAGGCGTACTGGGGGTGGGCATTTGAATGATATTATTTTTCATTTATAAATGGCAAACCTTCCACTTTATATATCAATAAAGATTCACAGCATTTTTATTCAAATTGTTTGTTTTATTTTGAAACCAAAAAAGAAGTCGCTGTTGGTAAACCCTGTATATGAAATTTTGTAGTTAGGCAACTATTTAACACCACAGATTATAAAGGTTGTTGTTGTTTAACACAAGTGCGTAATATCACTGAACTATACAACCATGTATAGTTCAGTGCGTAATATGCGTGGCGGCCACAAAATATGGTTGGCAGTACCATCGATCCAAGTATGAATGAACTAAAGATGCAAAATTTTGGTTAGCTTTATAATTATTTAAGCTTTTTTCGAATAGACAACGTTGCTTAAATAATTTTTAAATGTTTTATATAGGCAACCAAGATTACTTAAAACAGAGACAAGGGAGTCTCTGACTTAAAAGCTTATTTTGTACTACTGAAAACTGCAATGAATGTTGGTTGAATGCATGTATTTTTAAAATTAGTTTTTTGTTTTTTTTCTTAATAAAAATGTTCAATAAAAAATTAAATATAGGTAGGTATTTTAAAAAATATTATTTTTAAGGATTGGCAACGCTTGTTGGTAGTATTGTAAATAATTTAAATAATTGTTGTTTTAAAAGATTTGTTGTTATTAAAAGAGTTGTTTATTTTCTGTTTGTATCGAGCGTTAGTGGCGTTTCTAGGAAACCCAAAAATTTCAGTGGCTCAGCTGTCAATGTCTTTTGTGATGCCATTCTGTCAAAAAGTAAGAAAAAAGCGGTGGTAGTTTTGGTCGAAAAATAATATTTAGGCCTAGGATGGCTGAATATTTGGCTTCGATTTTCGGTACTGAAAAGGACAAGTATGTTTTTTCTTATTGGTTGTGTTAGCAATTTGAAAATTTTGTGTTTTTTAGGGTTAATTGTTCTTTTTACTTCAAAATCGGGGCTTGCAGACATGGAGATAGGTGTTCGAGAATACACAACAAACCGACGTTTTCGCAAACCTGTCTGCTACAAAATTTATACGTAAATCCACAAAATTCAGCCAAATCTGCCGATGGTAGTCACTGTAGGTTATGTCAATTTTTTAAATGAAAATTAGGTTTTATTTTTGTATTTCTACTTTTAGTGGTAGCTAATGTGTCTGATGAAGAGATGCAGGAACACTATGACAATTTTTTTGAAGACGTTTTTGTTGAATGTGAGGATAAATATGGGGAAATTGAGGAAATGAATGTGTGTGACAATTTGGGTGATCACCTTGTAGGAAATGTTTATATCAAGGTAATAATAAGATTATAGTAGCCCATGATCCTCAGTATGTGATTTAAAAAATTTACTTTTTAATTTGAATGTTTGCACATAGAGAAACAAACGTTTTTTAAAATATTGCGAAAACAAGAGCTAATTGAGCAAAACGATTTTAGGATTTAGCATACCCAAATTATCGTAGTAACCACAAATAACCCCATTTTTCAGAGTTTCTAAAAATGTTGTCAGAAACACATTTTGAACAAATTTTTTAGTTTCGACGCGAAGAAGACGCCGATAGGGCTGTAAATGACTTAAACAATCGCTGGTTTGGTGGACGACCAGTGTATGCAGAACTGAGTCCCGTGACTGATTTTAGGGAAGCTTGTTGCAGACAATACGAGATGGGGGAGTGCACTCGCTCAGGATTCTGCAATTTTATGCATCTTAAACCCATTTCTAGAGAATTAAGGAGGTATAGTATAACTCTCTTAAATAAATATTTCTTGACATTATTTAGTAGCTTTAATACTTTTAAAACTATCATTTGGTCATTCTAAAGTTTTTTTATTTATTTATTTGTTTTAGATATTTATATGCAAGAAGAAAGTCTAGCAGAAAACGTTCAAAATCTCGATCTCCAAAAAAAAGATCCAGAGAGAGATCTCCTCGTCACAGATCTAGTCGAAGTAGCAAAAATTAATGTATTTTTCGGAATGCAATATAACTGCATATAAAGTTATATATTTTCTTATAACGTTTTTGTGTTACATTTTATACTTAAGGATCAAGTCATTATTATAAAAAAACAAAATTATTTAATAAGTTTATTTATTGTAGTATTCAATTGGTTAGTTAGTCAGATTGATTGAATTTTTATAACAATATAAGTTTGAAAATGGGCCATTTGTTTAATTTATCGATTTTTCCAGAAAAGTTGGGGACTTTTGGTTGTCAAATGTCAACACTGCATAAAAACGTTTTTAAACCAGGTAAAATCATAACAAACGGATTTTTTCTCAATTACAGGTATATTTAAAGCAATTCTTACCTTTTCTTTAATTTTGTAATCCCTTATATATTTTACCGTAACCCTAATTATTATTTGCTGTAGATTTTGAACGTAAACACCGGCTTGGTATTGATCGATTTTAACCCCACTTTTCAGTGCTGTCAAAAAAATCGTTTTGAGCCAAACATGGCGGAATATTTGGCTTCTATTTTCGGTACTGAGAAAGATAAGTAAGTATATAATAAATTTAGTCCTTTAGTTGCTATAAATTTTGTTTATTTTAGGGTAAATTGCTCCTTTTACTATAAAATCGGGGCTTGCCGACATGGGGATAGATGCTCAAGAATCCACAACAAACCAACGTTTTCGCAAACATGTTTGCTGCAAAATCTTTACATAAACCCGCAGAATTCCGCTAAATCCGCTGATGGAAGTCATTGTAAGTCTCTTTAGTACTATTTATGCATTTTGTTATGTTAATTTTTTTTGTAGTGGTTTCCAATGTGTCTGACGAAGAGATGCAGAAGCATTATGACAATTTCTTCGAAGATGTTTTCGTTGAATGCGAGGATAAATACGGGGAAATCGAAGAAATGAATGTGTGTGATAATTTGGGAGACCATATTGTAGGAAATGTTTATATCAAGGTATAGTAAAAACCAAATCAAACAATTGAAATAATTTATTAATCATTATGTATCCAATCATTGGATTTCAATGTTGGCAAACTTCTTTACAATTTGGAATCTTATCATTGTTTAATTTCAAATACCTAATATAATTAGAGACAAGTTTTGAAAATATGGACATTATTAACAATTAACTTAAAATCAAATATCACAAGTCGTAGAATAGAGATGTAAAAAAACGGTTTTTTTTCAGATGTGAAAAAAAACATGAAAAAAATCCTAGAAAAAAAAACGGTTTTTTTTTGTTTTTTTTCAAAATGAAATTTTGAGTAAAATGTAGAATATATTACATTTTTCATTATTGAAAATTAAGACCAAGACTAAAAAATCTGATTTCTTATTATTTGGTAGTTTTCACATTAAAAACCAATAGCAATGTAAAACTTCTACACTAATACAAAAAATTAAAGGATAAACATTTTTTTTTGCGGTTTTTCGGATAACTGTATATTTGTTAAAAATGGTCGTATTGGAGCCGTTAAAAAAGCAATTTGAAGCTTGAAGTTTATAGTTTTGAGATTTTTAGATGAAAAACGTCAAACGCTCAATTCTAACGAATACCGTAATAAAAAAAATCGATTTTTTTTTTAATTTCTTTTTTGGTCCACGGAATGTTCTGACCACCAATGAAAAAATTTTCTACAAGAATTTGCTATTGTTTTTTGAAAAAAAAATTTCCATACTCTATATACTTAAATTTGAAAAATTATGAAAAAAGTGCTTTTGGTAGCTTTTTGAAAAATCAAGCGCTGAATCAAAAATATTATATGTAGTTACTTTTTTTAGGACCAAATCAAAACAAGCGCGGCCCCTATTGGTCAAATCGGTGGTTGTGGCGAGTGCATAACGCGAGACTGTATTTACATTTAATAATTGGCATTTAGTGGCTAATTTTAGTCCATGGAAACATACAAAATTAGGAAAATGGGACTAATCTTGAAAAAAAACCTAAAATGTGAAAAAAAAACCATTTGAAAAAAAACAATGAAAAAAAACCTGAAAAAAAACAAAAAAAACGGACCGTTTTTTTTCAAGTCGCATCTCTATCGTAGAATAACCAGTACTTAGTGGTATACAATGTTTCATTAAGATATAAGTCTTAAAATGCCAACTTAAGCTAGAATAACTGTTTTATGAATGTCAAATTTAGCCAAATACAACTGTTATAAAGTTAACTTAAGTTAAGGTACAAATTTGCTGGTTGTCTTTAGATAGAATTAAAAATGGGTATCTACAAAGTCGGTTAAATTAAAGAAAAGTTGTGTTATTACAAGCCAATTAAATAGAAATTTATAAATTATAAAAAAAGCCAGTGGTTCTCAAAATATTTGAAATAAAGAAAATCTTTCAAAACCAAAAATTTTTATAACTTTTAGTAATGGATTTTTAAAAAATAAGTAAGTTTTACATGAAAAAATATACATTAATCTACATTTTCATCCAATTTTTTTGCTACTAATATAAAATAACAAGTTACATTCACCATCTTTTGTTTTTATAATGGCCACCATAGGAAAACTCAAAATCCAGAAGGCAAAAAAATCACAAATTGGATGAAAATGTAAATAAACGTTTATGTTCACATATGAAACTTTCAAAATTCCTAGGAACGACGAAGTTATAACGGTTTTTGATTTTTTCTCAATTAGTAATTACCCAACTTTGTCTAATTTAACCGACCTTGTAGCTCTTCAAATAAAAAAGATACCCACAACATTTTTATACATTTTAAAAGAAAATTGGATTTGGAACAAAAAAATGGTATTGCATAACTACCCTAAGATTAAAAATAAATGGCAGACCCACGTCATACCACACTGTAGGGGAAGTTATTTGAAATATAAGAAATTATAATTTTTTTTGACAAGGAGTTTTTAAGCTAGTATTCATTTTCTAAGTACATTTGAGTGGTGTTATGCAACAGGGAACCAACCTTTAAAATAAAAAAAATAAGACAAATGTATTAATGTAGGACCAATAAATTAAAATATTAAAAATAATACAGAACTCTACACATACTTTAAATTGTAACAAAGATCCGAGATGCATGGTTGCGCCAAGCCTCTATAAGCGATAATCACCAAACTATTTTCATTTAGTCAACAAGGAACCAACCAACAAATTTATTCAAATTTTATAAAATTGGCATATAAAATAAAGAAAAACTATTGTGAACTATTTGAAATTAAAATTAAAACGTTGAACCTGTGATAAATGAAAAGTTTAGTATGACATTAGTAATTAAGAAATAAAATTAAAACGTTAAACCTAGAATTAACACTAAAGTAGGGGTGTGCAAATGGTGATCGAATTTAATCAAATAGTGATATTTGATTTGAATAAAATATTTATAGTATATATATTATATAATATAAGTATATTTGAAGTATTCAAATAGATTTAATTATTTTAATGGTTTAAATTAGTTGAATAGCTTGAATTAGTAGGATTATTTCAATACTTTAAATTTTTTAAATAATAATAGATCAAACTAATCAAATAAGTTTTCCCGTGATTAAAAATTAAAAAAAAAATTAATTTTCTAATAATTAGAGCTATTCAATAATTCAAATATTATAATAATTCGATTCGCCTCGAATAATTTGTAAAGTCAAATATTCGCTTACCCTACACTAAAGGAATGAAAAAACCACAGTCATTTTTAGATGGTATTATTATCTATTATGGTATCTATGGTATTATCTATCTGTTTAGCAAGGGGTTTTAACCTGTTGCCAGGGCCGGATTAAGAGTTTTGAGGCCCTGGGGCCGACATTTGGTGGGGGCCCTCAATATTTCTAAAAAAAATGCCACTTTAAAACTCATGGTAAATTTTTAAGCTAGAGGAACTTTACGTGATTTTTTATTATCCTTGAATCATTTATTATTTAATAAACCATATAAATTTTTAATAAAATCGGCCAAAGCGTTTTTAAGCTATAAATAAAAAACTAATTTTTTTAAACGAAAAACCCTGTATCTCGATAATGAAGCTTTTTCGGACACGTGTTAATAGGAACTTTTTTTCATATTTTGATGAATTTCCACTGAGCTTTTGTCACCACAAGTCTGAATCACCCTGTATATTTTGAATAATACGAACATAACCATCAGTGGCGTAGCTAGGCTCGAGGGGCCCCGTATTAAAAATCTGGTAGGGGCCCTTATACCGGAAAAGGTGTTGGCAAAAAATTTTTTAAGGTATAATTTTTTTGCATTTACCAATTTTTATAATTTAATAAATAATATATGTGGGTGAATCTCACGAAATGTCCCCCGATGGTGTTACCCCGTGATATTTAATAAATCTAAATGAGTTTGACCTACACTTTTATTGTGTTTTGATCTTTCATAATTAAGTAGATATTACAGCTCAGGTTAACCGCAATTAATTTATTTTTACATTGTTTTAAAAGTCTAAAACCTATCCTCCGTGACTGTTACTCTTTCTGGGTTAACCTATATGTTTTCAAATATCTGAGGTAGTAAAAGCATACTAAAAATATCAGTTCACTAAGTAAATTAAACACATCCAAAGCAATTAAATCAATAATAAAATATTATTAAAAATTAAAAGAAATAATTTTTATAACCATTTATGTAGGTGTCACAAAAATTGATTCTATCCTCCGTGAATCTGCTTTTGCTTTAAATTTTATGCAACGGATGGCGCTTTAATCATTTTAAATAAGCAAAAACCAAAAATAAAAAATAATCATTTTCACTTGGGGGACATCTCAATATATTCACCCATGTATACATAGCTTTTTATGTACAGGCAAATTTTAAAATTTTATCTGGTTTTAGACATTTACCGTTCTTTAACATCTTTTAAAAGGTTTCTATTTTAAAATAAAGGCAAGTCATTTAAAATAATTGTAACACTAATAATTATTTCTAATTTGCTATTAATATAACCTATGATAATAACACCCAAAGCAGACTTAGTATGCGGCGCAGAGCACAGAACAATATGCGCAGACTGCGCCGCAGACAACGCATAGCGAAAAGGTGCGGGCAGAAACATTTCGTATGAGTTAACGGCCTCGTTGGAACAGGAGGGTATTTAGGAAAATTTTAATTTAATAAATCGAAAAATAAACAATAATATTATTTATTTATTTAATTTGATGCCTCAATTTTTTTAACATTTGGGTAATATATTTTTTGCTTACGCATGTCGAAGCCAATCGGGGGCCCCCCTAGCCGGGGGCCCTGTATCATTGATACGGCTGATACCGCGGTAGCTACGCCCCTGATAACCATATACATTTTACCCAAGTCTGAGAAATTATAAATTCGTATGCAAAACTATAAAAACGTAGATAGTAGAATAGAATTGTGAATGAAAGTGTTTGTATATACTTTATATTTTAAAAGTCGTATTATTTGTCTGTTTTTCATACAAAATCATCAATAATAAAACAATGTTTTGTCCAAAGAAAAGAACGAAACATTATTTCGGAAACACCGGAAAATATTCCACAACACTCCAATGTACCAATAAAAATCTGGGACAAAAACTAACTTTAATATTAGATTATAAGTAATTGACTGTTTGCCTGTATTTACGAAAAGCACTAAAGGAGCAATTGTTTTGAGTCATAACTTATGACTATAGACTACATAAAAACGTCTTCGCGCGCCAAAACTTTGAGTGTGATAGTTAGATCTACGAAAAATTAATTGAAAATTACAGAATTCGCGCGGTATAACCGACCCAATTTTTTATTTTTTCGATAATTTTTTTCATATTCGTTTCATTAAAAAGCTACATATTGCATTGGTGGGGGCCCCTAAATGGTGGGGGCCCTGGGGCCGTGGCCCCGCTGGCCCCGTCCTAAATCCGGCCATGCCTGTTGCATAAAGGTGTAATTTCATGTTGACGCTCGACGCTAGTTTTCCAGCGTCAGATCAATCACGTGGTCACGTCACGTGACTTTTAGCGTCAAAATCAAAAGGCTAAAATCTTCTTTATCTCTGGCTAAAACGATTTTTTGCTTTGTTTTGTTTTATAGATTAGATAAAGTGAAAGCTACCTACTTAATAAATATTACTTATATTTTGATGATTAATATATAATTTGTATATTATTTATTATATTATTATATTGAGGCTTATTGTTCTATATGTACTCAATATGCAATACAAACTTTATTTATTTATTTATTATTTTAATGAATGCATTTATTGCAATATAATTATATGGCAATGAACAAAGTTAACAAATTTTTCCTTTTTATTTTTTTAAAGTCGTTCAAACATTGGGTTTAATTGTTTTATATAAATAAATATTAAAAAAAAAAATAAAATAAAATTTTCTTGGTCAAAAAAACAACAAAGTATGTCCACAGATTGGGTTGCAAGGAGGTAAAAAGTTTATCTTCAAGCGTTTTATAATTTAAACTTTATAATTTTCAACATGCACTACCAATGTGATTGATTATCGCCTAGGCTGTAAAAATAATTTAGACCATTCGGATATAATTGTTTACCTCCTAGTCTAAAAGACCAGTTTGGACCATTCACATAAATCGACTACTGTCATTTCTATCTAACCTCACTTTCTACTTTTTAATAATAATTGTACGTTTTAATTATCGTTTCACAAATAAAATTGTGCATTGAAGATAAAATTGTATGCTTTTCGTGCTTCGCTCAATTGTAGACCTTCAATATGCGTCGGCCCTTAAACTTACATATTTTACATTTCTCAAAAGATTTTATTTTTGATAAAAGTTTTTGCTTGGTTTCAAACACCCAGAATAATGCGACACAATATATTTGCAATTTTGATTTTTCTGAAAATTTTGTACTGAATAGTAAATTATAGACCAGGCGGAGAAAGCACAAATTATAGCCAAGAATACATACATTTTATACATAGATTGCGTACGAGGTTTTATATACTATTTTTGTTCAAGCATATAATTAAAATATTTCTTTGAGTTTTTGAAACAGCATTTTTAAATTAAATTTTAAACTAGTATTGATATGAAGGGTTTATGTATGTAGTCTTAAAAGTGTTTTAATATAAAAATTATTGTACGCTTGAAAAAAATCATTTTATTATCACGGTAGGTAGATATCTCTCGAGAATTCTCCACGGATGTCATTAATTTTTACTTATGATGATCTTATGAAGTGGAAATAAGTTTTACGTTGGTATTAAGTGGAAAAGAAACTTTTATCAGGTGAAAAATTTTCTGAGAAATGTAAAATAAACTTTTTTTTGTTTTTGTAACACCATTTGTGGTATACAGGGTGAAATCTTTATTAATTTAAGAATCAATAAAAAACGTTTCAAAAATAGGTGTTAAAGTTGCTTATATTTTTTTGAAAAAAAGTTTGGTTAGTATTGTTTTTTGTTAGGTACCTTTTTTTCTTTAAAATGAGATATGCCCAACTACAATACTCAATGTCTATGTTTTAGTTGCAATTTTTTTCCTAATAAAAATGTTGAGTTTAAAGCATTTAAGTTTAAATTAACTCGGCAACGATGTGTTTTCCTAAGCCGATTTATGAGACATCAAAAATATAACAAATAATAAATTTACAGAGCTGACATTGACATGGTTGACACAAGTCAGGCCTTACTTTTAATTGAGGTGTTGCACTATACAACTCAATTACCATAACTTTGTCATTATTCACAAATTTTAACATTTTATTTTTAAAATACAAGGTGTCCCTAAACTTAGTGGCATAAATTTAGGAGCAGATTAAGCAAGTCAAAATAAGAAAACCTAAATAAATATTTTTCCTAATTACTTATGTTTCCAAGATACAGGGTGATAAAGTGTTACCTATCATATCAGTTTTTTTAATATAACTTCTACTCTGGTAGTCTTGGAAAGGTGATATTTTGCGAACAGTCACTTACTACCAAAACACATATTCACACATAATTTCAATTGTTTGAGTGAACAGTGTCGTAGAAACGGGGGTTGCTTTAAGCTTATTGTCCCATACAAACTTTGAGGTTAGGTTTTTATAACATTTGATACAATTTTTCGATTACACAGTTCGTCTACCATTAAAAAGGTGTACCTCTCAAACTTCGATAAAATAAACCGTTTCCGAGATATTCGAGATTACAATAATTGTTATATCGCATTATTTAAAAGGATTAAAAGGTATATGATAACAAATTTTATTTTTTAATTAAAAAAACTAAAAAACGGCATTCCATGAGCCTCGAGACTTTTTGCCCTGACCGTCACATTAAAAAAATTGTAGTTTTTTTCAATTAAAAAATTTGTTATCATATACCTTTTAGTCCTTTAATGCGATATAACAATTATTGTAATCTCGGATATCTCGGAAACGGTTTATTTTATCGAAGTTTGAGAGGTATACCTTTTTAATAGTAGACGAACTGAGTAATCGAAAAAATGCATCAAATGGTATAAAAACCTAACCTCAAAGTTTGTATGGGACAATAAGCTTAAGCAACCCCTGTTTCTACGACACTGCGTTCACTCGAACAATTGTTATTATGTGTGAATATGTATTTTGGTAGTAAGTGACTGTTCTCAAAATATCACCTTTCCACGTCTACCATAGTGGAAGTTATATTAAAAAAACTGATATGATAAGTAAACTTTATCACCCTGTATCTTTTAAACATACCTAATTAGGAAAAATATTTATTTAGATTTTCGTCTTATTTTGACTTGCTTAATCTGCTCCCAAATTTATGCCACTAAGTTTAGGGACACCTTGTATATTTGAAAAATTGATTTCCATCCTTTTATATAAATATTTAATCTCAAAATATTAAAATTATTAAAATAAAGCTCAATTTTTAAACACTTATAACTCAAAAACTATTCGTCGGAAAATTTGTATTTTTTATAAGCCCCTACAGACTGTAGGCTGCAGTAGTTTTCGGGACACCTTGTATTAAAAAAAATGTTTTCAGTTTCGTCGTGAAGAAGACGCCGAAAGGGCTGTAAGTGATATAAACAACCGTTGGTTTGGCGGTAGGCCAGTCTACGCAGAATTAAGCCCAGTTACTGACTTTAGAGAAGCTTGTTGTCGTCAGTATGAAATGGGAGAGTGCACTCGGTCAGGATTCTGCAATTTCCTGCATTTAAAGCCGATTTCGAGAGAATTGCGCAGGTAAAACATCTTACATTTTACTTATAACGCTAATTTCGCAACTTAGCACGGGTATAAAGAATACATTATTTTTGTAGGTACTTATACCCAAGAAGGAAATTTGGCGGCGGGGGCGGCGGCGGCGGCGGTGGTGGCGGTCGCGGGGGCGGTAGAAGGTCCCGAACAAGATCTCCAAGAAGACGTTCTCGTTCCAGAGAAAGACGTGGCGGCTCCAGGTCTCCAAATAACCGCCATCGTTCTGGAAGAAGTGGACGATACTGATTTTTTTTCCTGTTTTAACGTAATCATAATTATTCATTAATACATAATACGTGAATATTTTTATAGACATATATTCTGTGTTAGTTTGTTTCTTGTGCAGAAATAAACTGAGTCAGATATTCTGTAACAGTTTAAATTGAAGATTAAAATATTTAAGAATAATGATGCATTAGTAGTGGTGTATTTTTTTGTTGGATTAATAAGTATGCATTTACAAATATACATTATAAAGTAATTATTGTTTCTTTTTTCAAGCGTAAAGGGGGTGTAAATAAAATGACAGATAAAGATAAATTTAAAGCATGCGGACGGGACAAATCACAAAACTGTTTTTAATAATGATTTATTATATAATATTTTGGCATCAAAATTGTCAAACATTCTAATTTTATAAGTAGAGATAATTTTAATAATGGACAGGTGTGAATGGGACAAGATAAATATTTTTTTGTCCCATCCACACCTTTCAATTATTAAAATTATCTTTACTTTTATAAAATATTTCGTGCGTTTTTTAAAATTTAATGTATAGCTTAATAAAAAAGGTATATTTTTGACAATTTTAATGCGAAAATATATATATATATATATATAAAACAATTTTGTAATTCATGCGTTTCGCGCGCCTGAAATGGCCCTTGGTCCTATAAACAAGGGATTTGATGTGACCCCACAGAAAAAAGTCAAGTAAAGTAAAATCTGGGGATCTTGGGGACAAATGTATTGGCCCATTTCGACCTATCCACTGTCAGGGAAATTGTTGTTTTACATTGTTTTTTTTTTTAATTTATTTTTTCTACTAGGGTTGTGTTTAAATGGAAAGAACTGCTCTTAGGGTTATCTGAGGTATCTGAACGTGGTTAATTTTTAATGTTAATTTACGTCATGCATTCAGTTAAGAGTACTTATCAAATGTTTGCAGATGATGGCTTTCCACTCTTGGTTAGCCACGATTATTCTTCACATAGAATGCTTCCTATGGTCGGGTGGTTCGTCCGCCAGGTATGCTGTCACTTATCACTTCATACTCTATTACTTTCGTGACCGTAAGTTATCCTTTAATTAACTGTAGATATAATGCATTATATCACTGTAGGAGTATTTTATTGTGGGAGGTAAAAATTTTGGTTTTAAGCGAGGTCTTGGTTACTATGTCTTACATCGTCAAGAGTTCGAACGCGAATAATAATGGTTATTGTGTTGATTAAAAAATCCACCTCTTGAAAAATTGCTTTCAGTTCACAAAACATGAGACTTAAATGTATACATATACCCTATAGGGTTTCCAGCCACTTGTTGCAACAACCAATTGCAGTAATTTATCCTAGTGTAAAAGTAATATAGCCCTAACCTATAGGGGTATATATAGCCTTCACAAACGAGAAATGTATTAACAGTTTCATGGGAAAAATTCAGCTGTAATACTTTGTACTTCGTGCAGGGTCTTCTTCCAAAAGTTCCAAAACTTGATTTTCCATTTGGGGTGTTAGAATAAGACGAGTACGACTGCGGTCTGGACCAGCAGTTGGAACAGGATTTTCTATGGAAAACATTTGGTTTTCTATAGAGGACTACAATAGTCTTCTAAACGCATTCACACTCGGATGCCTTTGATTTGGAAATCTTTCAACATAAGGATTTGCATATTGTAACGTGTTTTCCCAAGTAATAATTGTAAAATACATTTGATTTATTTAGGGTTTAAAAGTGCTTTAATACCTATGTTCAATAAAAGTATAATAGTTTTAAAGTTACCTTAAGATAAACTAAAATTTCTTAAAGGCCACTGATTCTTATGCAAATAATTGAATGTATTCTTTAATTTAAATTAAAAAAGAACTATTTACTCCTAATGCCCTATTGATCTTATACTGATTTTATAATACTCTTGACATTGGCTTTTTTAAAACTAATTTGCCTTTTTAAACGATTAAATACTATTTAATATTTAATAAATAGCAAGTTGGTTTTTAAAACAATCCATTTTGGAACAAATAGTTTTAATGAACTTTTATGAAGTACCTTTGAAGTACTCATTAAAACTCACAAAAAAAACTATTTTATCTTAGGCCTACATACCTATATGCTCAATAAAATTCCGCTTTAAATCCGAAAACATAATTTTTTACGTTTTAAAACTTACATTAAAAATATTTTAAAGCTCAAAGGTTTTAATTTAGTCAATTTGTTTAAAAAAAAATGCCTGTTCGATTTTTGACCACTTAATTAAAACTAATTCTATCCCCTCCACATTCGGATAAATCCATCTCAATAAGATAATTTAGTTAACCAGTGCAGTTTGTGTATCTACTTTATACGTAAAAGAAAATTAGAACACATTTAAAATGGAAAATATTAGCGACAAGTATTTTAAATTAAAACGAAGTGGTAGATTAAAAAACAGCATAATTTGTAAGGTAACGATTTCATTCGCGCGCCAGACCACTTTAAATCAACAAGGCCATGAGTCCAAAATGATTAAAGCAATTCAATTTTAAAATGAAGAGTAAAGAGACGTTTGCGAGAGTAATTGTACTTAAAGTGGTGAATAAAACGGTGTGTCTTGTAAGATCTAAAATGTTCCATAAACTTGCAATCAGTTTTAATCTAGATCGCGCCATGTTTTATATAAAATACAGACTCTGCCATGATGGAGATTTGCAATAGCCAAAGAAAAAATCATCCTCTTAAATAAGTGAAGAACGGTGTTTCCAAACATACAATTTAATAAAGAAAAGCATTTAGATATTTAGATGCCAAACAATACGATATGTTTTAAATAATAAAAAAGATTAATTTGATGGCGCTCAAGTTATGTAGAAGTATTTAATTATATTTTGTCAGAAAAAAGCCACCCGTTGTTACATTTTTTACCAGAATGGTGGTTTTCATTTGAATATTTTGTATGATTTGCTTAGATCAAGGCTGTCATTAAGATCATATAGTTTTAAAGCAACCTTGGAGATCACAATAAGAGCATTAGTGTTACTTGGGGTGGCGGCATTCGCCAAAAGCCAAAACGAAGTTTTGATTTAATTATTAAATTTTGTTACAAGGTAACTCCTAGGTACCAAAACCGTTGTTGCCAAATGCTTTTTACAGCATCTTGATAAAGAAAACAGTAACATTAGTACATTTCAAGCAATTTTTAAATTGATAACGATTAGTACTTTATTTTATACCTATATAACCATTTATTTTTTGCAAATGCAGAAATTTATCTCACCAATTGAAGACCAGTATTTTTTTTGTAACCTTGGGGACACTCACCACAGTGTCTTTACATCCTGTATAAAAGACTTCATGTTAATTCTAGTTCAAATATTTGATAAAATATCGATAGTTATCGTAAGTAAATACACTTACGATAACTATAGTTACACTGCAAAAAATATCTGTGTAAATTCTTTTTTTTTGTTAAAATTTTTGTTTAAATTTTGTGTAAAAATCGTGTAAATACTTTTACACGAATGTTCCTAAATTGGGAATCAACCCTAAAACGTGTAACCACTTGTTAATTTACACGTTAATGTGTTATAAACTCATATTTAATAAATATCGTGTTATCTTACACGAAGTTGTGTACATTTTAACAAATATCATGTAAAATTTAGTGCCGAAGCTAATCGCCATTGTTTTTGCTTGTTTTATGCCTGTCTTGCCTTCGGTGTATTTATAGATATATTGTGCTGGTGCTTTTATAAAAGATTATTTTGTGTTACAACGTAAATAAACACATCCATATACATATTTAATATGAAATTTAAACTTCGACTTTACGAAACAATATTTAATATGAACTTCGACTTTACGAAACAAAGTGGGTAATCGCAAATTTGCCAGTAGCCCATGAAATTTTATCTTCTTTAGGTAAGTAAATTTTCAACAATTAAAATAATCTTGTGTCCTTTATTACTAGGTTTACTCCTTCACTCAACTTAAAATATGATGTCTTATTGAAACTATAAATTACTTTTTTAAATAAAAATATTTCTGTTCACGTAACTTTTATTTACCTACCCAATTTAATAATAAATTTAACACGGTAAAATATTAAAAAATAACACCAGCTGGTGTTAAATTTAATACGTAAAGAAAGCTTACACAAACAATGTGTTAAAATTTAATTATTCTTCGTGTAAAATATTACACAATATAAATAACAAATCAACACACTGAAGCTGTGTTAAAATATTACACGATATCGTTTGGACTTGGAATAACACAGTTTGGTGTTGACGCCTGTAAAGTGGTGTTAATTATTTTTTACAGTGTATATATCGATATTTTTCGATAGTTGGAAAATTATTAAAAGAACATTAAATTAAAAAAAAAATGATGCAAAGTGGTTATTTATTTTTATACAAAAATTCAATCATATTATTGACTTTGTCAACTTTCAGTCTCGTTCGTCGATCGGAGATTACTAGTCCCCGTGGAACTAAATATTTTTTCGCTGACACAACTATAAACATCTCATTCTCCCTTATTTATTTGTAATATAACAAATAAATTATCAAATATGTTTTGTTATTACTTTCGGCGCCCAATTTCAAAAAAAGACGTAGAAATTAGGCAAGGTAGCGCAAATAATAGACGTAAATTGACAGAATGTTAGTGTGGCTTCACCTTCAGCTGCTATTAAGAAGTTTAAGTTGTTCTTCGTGAAAGCTTCAATCGTAGGCGTAGGCGTAGTTTGGTGGAAAAGATAATATTAACAGAAATAACAGCCGACTCCGGCGTATTCAAATTAATAATTTAATTAAAAGGATCTAATTTAATCAATCAAATGTAAATAGTTCAGAATAAAGGCCAATTTTAGCATCCGCTTTAATTATTACAAAAAATATTAAATTTTGTCATAAATTAAGATTTCCATTTTGACACGAATATAAGTATACCCACTGTTATAAATATAAGATTTGTTAGCATGAGTTTGTAGTTTGTTAATTTTATTTTGTAAAATTGTAACATTATTTTTTGTAGAAAACCAGGGTTTTGTAATCATTTTAACAAAATAAAATATTTTACCGAAAGTTTTGTAAAGGTAATATGAAATTTTGTAAGCATTTTGTTAATTTCATAGCTTACAGATTATTTTGTTAATGTTTAACAAATTATTTCGTTGAAAAAGTACACATGATTTCAGGCAGTCAATCAAAACATTTCCCACTGACAATACTTATTAACAAGTTCAACTGACTTCAGCCTCTGCAACTTATGCTACTGCTTACT